ATACCTATCCAGTTTCTGCAAAGCCAGACAATTTCTGTCAACTAATCAACATGCAGATGAAAATATCTTTTAAAGTGCATTGTAGACAACTACTATTTTAACTCAACTCCTAAATGGTAACTAGGTATGTCTTTACAGAAAATTAAAAGATGTCATCAGTCCTGAGGGTCATTATCATTTAAATGCAGGTTTTGGCCAATCTCTATGCCCCCTTTGCAAATATGTGGATTTACTTGTTAGGTCCCTTGGACTCAAGTGTAGAGAATGGGCATATGTCTTTCAAATTAGGCAATGTTTGCAATGCTTTCTGCACCTTGACTGCTAATTTTGAACCTACACTTTTTTGTTAGAATATTACTGGTCAAACAAAAAATATCAACCTAAATTGTACAAGCTCACCTAAGCAAAAATTGTATTATATTGTTGATATCTTTAAAGGTGTGAGTGATTTTATTTCCTGAAGAATTCTTAGATATAGGATCCTTGCCCAGTGGAGGGGTAGCCAGATATGAAGGCACCATATTTTTAATTATTTTACTACAGCTCTATGACTCTAATCAAGGTTTTTCATTGATCATATTTATCAACTTCAGTATATAAAGGATCACGAGGAAAAGGTAAGGAGGGATAAAAACAACATGGTGAAGACAAACCATGCTATTTTGTAAATGTTGCTTTATATTTCTGATAGAGTTTAATGTCACAAGGATTGTTATCTGAGTTGCTGAATCGTACATAACTGGAAGAGCTCATCATTACATTTCACTATGATATATCAAAACAGCCCATGGGTGGAGTAGATTTGAATGTGAAGGTCTGGCACAGATGAAGTCATTTAAATAAGTGGAGAGAATGGGTGCAACAAAGTTTTTGATGGAGTAAAGTGAGATCGTGGATGAGGATATATGGTCAGTATTAGCAGTTAGCAGTAAGTAGTAGTAGTAGTAGTAGGTGATGGTTAGTAGTTAGTAGTTAGGGTAAATAGTTAGAGTTAGACTACTCTGACAGACAACAGAGGAGCTGGAAAAGAGTCATGGAAGAAAGGAAAATCATGTTTTCATTAGAATGCTCTTTAGAAATCACATCAGCCCAAACAAGTACAAATTTCTACTAAACAATACGCCATTCTTCATTATTTTCTTTTCCAGCTTTGATTGGCTCTGTTTGTCAGGTCCATATAAGGGTGTGCTTTGTCACCCAGAGTCCTACTGTGATAGCAAGCATTTTTACCCTACTAGGTGGACTCTTGATTGAAATCTCTAAATTCTCCACCTCTTCGATTCTGCTCCTAGCCCACACCTCCTCCTCTCCGAGGACTTCATTTCGTCTCTGCTTGACCAAGAGTGAGCCATGGAGCCCAAGTGCCATCAAGTTTCCTCCTGTACTCCTCAAGGTCAACACTTTCACCCTTTCTCTTTTCTTTCTTGCCTATCTTGAAGGAAAACTAATCTCTCTACCCTGCTGAACAATTTATCCCTCTTCCTAGGTTCTTATTCCAACTCCTTTCTACGTCTGTCTCTCAAAATTTTCTCTATTAATGACTCACGCTAAGAAATATTCAATTGTTCCTCTTTCTTCCTAAAATAAGTTAAACAAAGTTGCTTCTGGCTTCCCTGCCTTAATTCTGCCTTGTGCTCTCCTACATATGAGCCTCTACTCTTGTCCTTGTTTTTACCTGAAGTGGTTCCCTTCCATTCTCTGCCATCAACAATTCTACCACCCACCTAGTCCAGTGGTTTTTTGAATAACACCCAATGCAGAAGCAGATGTTCTATAAAGGAGACTCAGAGGCCCACTACAGGGAGCAAGAGAGTGGGCAGCAGATAGGCTAGAATCTCCATCCTCAAACACAAAAACTCCAATAATAATAGTTTTAAGCATTTAGCATATTTGAATTCTGGTGCTTTAAAAATATTTGAAAATGACAATTTTAATAAAATTGCAGAGAGGTTAAGTGACTTGTTCAAGATTAGCGGCAGATTGAGGGCTAGTGCTCGAGTCTTCTGAATTCCTATTCCATATTTTTTAAATATTATTCAGGCATTACTAGGGCAGCATTTATAGGTAAGGGATAAAATTCTTCATTAAATGTTCATAAAGGCATTTCTTCCATGCCAACATAATTTTAAATTATGGAGTGATTTCTGTTATAAATGATTTATTTCTCTCCATCTAGAGTGACGTATAGACCATGGTTATCGGGGCCCTTCTTCATTCAAGCTAGGTTCTTGCATATCATGTGAAGAAACTTGATTCTACACTGACATGGAAGAGGATTTCCAGTTCTTGGAAATGTTGTAACTAAAATCGATGTTAGATAATGTTGGAAAGTTTCAGATTGGGTCAGAAGATAGCTTTGATTTGGGGAAATTCCTTGAGATTCTGTTCTAATCTGAGAAAGTATCTCTTCTTTCCTAACTAGTTAAATTTCTGGAAGTAGAAGAGAAAAGATCTTTCAGAATTGACCTATAGACATTTATGAGATAACTTTTACTATTCCTAAACCTGACATCAGATGCAAAACAACTTTCCTTTCACTATCTTCATTATCCTAACTCTCTTCCTTTTGCACTGTGAACCATCTGGTTCAACTGAAAGGGAGCCCATAGTGTTCCCAGAATGCTTTTGGTTCTGAAACATTCTGGCAATAGTTGTTTCATAAAAAGCAAATGATTCAGGGAATAAGGAATATGGCTGCACATTGTAGGTTAATTCTTTCCTATATTTCGTGATTTATCCAGGAATCAAATGTTTTGGGTTATGAAAAATAATTTTAGATCAATTAATACAATGTAATTGGAAATCTTGTACCTCATTTGGACATGGTTGAACAGTAAAAATGACCTGAAATGTTTCATGAGAAATTATATTTAAGGTTATACTCAAATGAAATAATGTGGAATGCTGATGTAAAATACAACAGTTTGATGTACTTTTATGTATCACAATACATAAATTTAAATCAATTTAGATTATTATGAAATTACAATTTAGTTAACAATAAACTAACAAGACACAAGGATTTTAACAATGTGGTTTTGGAGGTAAAAAAATCCACTGGATTATTTTTTTTTACCTCTTGATAAGTCTAAGAGTACAGTTGCTTTTCTCTAATCAGCTTTGTTTTGTTTTGCACATTGTGCTTAATAAGCAAGCATCTTCCATTTGTTGAGTTTTCAGAGTTATCTTGCACTTTGATTTTTTACTCACTTTGCAGTCACAAGATGAGAAATGTAGACACTGTGTACAAACAAGAAGGTCGTGCAAAGTCAAGCTCTCAAAACCACATGCAAGACTCAGTGGCACATGGTTTAGAGCTCACACACTCCAGGATCATGTAACACAGGCATGCAGATGAGAGGAAAGAAAAGCACCTACATCATGAAAATAGAGGATGATGAAAGAGAATGACATTTTCTTTGTGACAATTATCTAATGCAAACCGTATACCCATAACCTTTGCCAGAGTGGAGGAAGGGGCAGATAAGTGACTTTTTGTGGGGATGGGGAAACTGCATATAAATATTATTAGAGGTCAAGTCGTTGTTAAAGTTAAAGACTTCTATTCTGTACTCGGCCTCTTCCAGGGTATCTTCCCCATTTTCTTGCTTTGTATTTCCTCTGCTACGTCATGCAAAAAAGATCAGAACTAACATTGGAAATCATTTAACAAGCTCTAAACCTGACAGATAACAAGAGTGTTCTCCACAATTTACACGAGAATTAAATTGGATATAAATACCTCCTGTTCTTACCGGTGGGTGTTGTGATTCCATGTATTAAGGTGTGAAGCAGACAGGAAAGAGATAAATCTTTCATAAGTACATTGTAAATAGGCAAGTGGTATATAAACCATATTCATAGGTAATAGAGTCAAACAATGAAAGGTAATTAGTTGTCACAAAATAGACTTTATCACAAAAAATGGTCACAAAACTAGAGTTATATGAGCAGGGGATGTACAATAAATAATTGTTTTACTACTGCTATTGAAATAATCTGGCAGTACGGAACAAAAAAATTGAGTGACATGTGTTTTGATTAAAAATTCTTGACATTGCTTCTGCCAACCCAGCATTAGAGGATCCGCAACAGTTTCTGAATGCTGATATCTTTTTTAAACAATAATACAGTTGGGAATATATAAAAAGGGTCAATTTGTAGGTGCTTTCTCGTGAGATTAAAGTGATACGTTGGTAAGATCAACTTATCAAATGAATTTTCATGAGTAACTCTGAGATAAGTAGAAATAACTCATGGAATTCAGTTATGGTTTTATATGAAATGTGATAATTGATTAGCTCTTAAAATTACAATTTTTATAATGGCATGCCCTTAATTCTCAGTCAAATAAATCATCAACGGCTATGATAAACTTATCTGTATATAAAAACGTCTTTAAATTGGGCAATAGTTGCAATGCTTTCTGCACCTTGACTGCTAATTTCAAACCTTTGCTTTTTTGTTACAATGTTACTGGTCAAATTAAAAATGTCAATCTTAATTGCACAGGCTCGCTTATACAAAACTTGTATTATGCTGTTGATGTCACTAAATGTGAATGATTTTATTTTCTGAAGAATTCTTAGAAACAGGGTTCTTGCCCAGTGGAGGAGAGCTAGATGGGAGGGTACCATATTTTTAATCTTTCTTTAATAGGTCTATGATAAGCCATAGAATTTGTATTTATCATATAATTTGTCTTTAGTAATCAATCTCTGTAGCCAAACAGCTATGTCAAAAGAATGTGTGCAATTCTCCTAATAATAAAAAGAGCTCTTTGGAACACATTAATATTATTAATTGTGTTGATTTTTGAGCATTGATGGAGGAGGGAAGGGTTATGAAAAGTGATTGTTGATGTTGAATTTGCTTAAAAGTTATGAAGGAATCCATATTTCCCCCTTGAAAGGAAAGATGCATTAAACCAGGTACAGTAAAAGGGCAGGTAGTTAATTGTTTAAAATATAGAAAAATTGTCCTTAACAGAAACATGAAACTTCCTATCATAAAATCTTTATGACACACTTAAACTCCCTAATGTTTCCTACAGACCCTCAAAATGTCCTATTTTTTTAAAAGATTACTATTTGGGGGCACCATAGTTGTTACTGTTTACTTGCCAAATCTTAATGCACATGGGTCCTACTATTTTTTTGGGTGCTGGCAGCTAGAGCACGTCATGAAAGCCCAAGTCTCAGCTTAGCAATGTTTTCTAATCACAAGTGGGAACTCTAACACACACAGTTATATCAGTTTGCATCATGTTATAACGCCTTTGCCACACAGTGTAACTAGATATAGCACCATGCAATGCCATGAATTGAGAATGAGAGACTATCTCCAGGGGAGAAAATAAACATCCGAGGGAGAAAAACAAAAGCAGGGGGTTCAAAGCTGGTGAGACTGGCTTTTCCATTTTGGCTGTAGCTATAATGTCTGAGGTGCTTCCGTTTTGGAAAACAGAAATACATACCATGTTCATGTCAATGCCATTGGTGTAAGTCCACGCGTGCTGGAAATATTCTTCAAGTCGTTGCCTCAGAGGGTTGGGGATTTGGTGAAAGCGAATGAACTCTTTTACTCGCAGCATCTGCATGTGGTACCTGGCAGTTCCCGAGTATAGTCTTTGGATAATTGCAGATACATTCCCAAAAATGCTTGCATACATTAGTGCTGGATTGGATAAAAAACAAAGTTATGGGAGAAGAGTGCACTTGGGCATATTGTATCTTGACAGAATCTCAAGTATTAGATTTTTGATTATCTCAATCCAGTTGTGAGGATTTACCACTAGCCCATGGGGAAAAAAGAAGTTTAGCCAATACTGTTTTAAATTTTATAATTTTGATGATAAATATGGAGAGGGAAAATATCTAAGTTCACCATGGATTCTAAATTAAAGTAAAAACTCAGATTGTTTACAATATCAATCTGTAACCTGGAATTTGACTAGAGATAAAAATGCATTTAGAATAAATATTTTGTTTGTAATGTAATAAGAAGGTATGTCATGGGGTTATCGTAGATATGTTTTCTGGAAGTGGAGTTAAAATGTAAATTTTTAAATTGTCATTTCTCTGCCTCTCAACCTCAAACCTAACCTTATAATATTAAAACTCTATTATAAATCTTAAGATTATTTTGAATGCTGTGGATTTGCTAAAGAATGATAAATTGTTTTAAGAAACTCATAGTTTCCCTAGAGTATTTATCTGTATATAATTTTTAATCTATTAAAATTTATTTTTATAGTATTTCTGCATGAGAAATAGATATCTCTAGTTTAGAACATAAGACTATAGTTTTATTTTGTACAGAAAAATAGAATACATCTTCGTTCTTTCATCCATAGAAGGAAGGAATTGCTAAGACAACTCTTGCTATATAGTCAATACTTAGATAGAATACCGTTTTTAGTGCTTCCTGGGCTAAATCTTTATGATTTAACATAAGCTTTTTAAGCATCTTCTCTTTCTTTTTATATTTGTATTCAATTTCTAATAGCCCTAAAAAAATGCTATGCCCTGTACAGAAATTCACATCATGATACATCACCTATGTCTTGATCTTTGGGAGTGTGCCAGAGCCTTAGAGAGGAAATGACATGTTTAAGGCATTGCAACTGCAATGCACCAAGCAGGTGGGAAAAAAATAAACAGCTTGAAGTGTTTGGTTGGACTATATTCAGTCAACACATTTTTTTCCCCCCAACATATTAGCTCTATAAACCACTTAATCATTTTTGAAGTAGATTTTGGCCAGATTCAGGCTAAGTGTTTTAAAATGACTTAAATTCTTGGTCATCTGGTTTTTTTCCCATCTTATCTTTGTCTCTTGGTTATTATGGTCCTTGTTTATCGTAGATGTCCCAAGTAAGAGAATGTCCCAGAGAAGGGAGTGGCCATTTGTTTTTATCTATTTAAAGGGATGAAACTGGGGGAGATCTGTAGTGAGGCTGAATTGGGATGTGTGAAAGACAATAATTCTCAGTAAGATACACAAGGTGTTTAGTTTGTATCTTCCACAGAGAAAAGACTCGAGCCTAATTTGAGTAAATGAATAGTTAATTAATAAGGGAGTTAGCAATACTTGCCTGAAAGTAATTCCTGTGCTCTAAGGAGATTCATGTGAAAAATATATTTTACTCTCCCTAATTGTAGTATTGGAAATATTTATGCATACTTCTATGTCTCCAGAGTACCTATCATGTTCTCAGGAAATAGTTTAGTTAGTATTAAGTTCACTTGATTTAATCAGAGGGCACATAATCAATGCTAGTTATTTTACCTAAACCACATAATTACCTGGAGAAGAGTCAGGGAGAACATTCTTATTTTGTTTTTAATAAATACTGTGGTTTTATATCCATACTGACACAAAAATGAACCAAAACGTTAGTTTGGGTCACAAATAGGTATTTCCACTCATTGACAAGATGGCAAAATCTAGATTATAAATTCATGGTTGTATATATGAATGACATATATTTCTCTTAGAAAACTCTATGCTGATGGCTTTTTTTTTTTTTTTTTTGGTGAGGATGATTAGCCCTGACCTAACATCTGTTGCCAATCTTCCTCTTTCTGCTGAGGAAGATTGGCCCTGGGCTAACATCCGTGCCCACCTTCTTCTACTTTATATGTGGGATGCCTGCCACAGCGTGGCTTGATGAGTAGTGCATGTGTCCTTCCCTGGGATCTGAACCCATGAACCCCGGGTCGCCAAACCGGAGCATGTGAACTTAACCACTACATCACTGGGCCAGCCCCTGATGGTTTTTTAAATTATATAATGAAGGCATTTTTTTTTTTTTTTTGGAAGCACATGGAGCTAAAGGCTGTAAGCAAGAGAGAAGCACAAAATGATAATATTCTGTATACATTATTTTGTTAATGTATCATCTGGCATAAAATATGAGTCAAAAGCAAGATGGCAGACTATATATAGGTGTTTCTTTCCTCAACTCAGTATTTTATTTAGCTTTCCTTAATAGGGAGTTCTTATTTCATCAAAATGATTTACTTTAGGTTTTAATATTATAGAAATAAAATAGGTTTATCTTAAAACATCAGCATACCACACCCAAAATCTGATATGTTCACCAAACTCATGAATTTAGTTGAACATTGGGTATTAGCTGAAACATGCTAATAAAACAAATACACTTGCTTTTCTACCTATTAAAAACATTGTAACAAGAAATAAATTTTATTAATGTGTAATTTACATATAATAAAATGAATCCATTTTACGTATATAGTTCAGTTAGTTTTGACAAATGTATACACTTCTGTAAACGCAATCAAGATATACAACATTTCCATCACCCCAAAAGAGTCCCTTGTGTTCCTTGACTGCCTGCCAACTCATTTCAGACCCTAGACAACCACTGAGCTCCTTTATGTCTTTACAGATTAGTTTGCATTACCTAGGATTTCATATAAATAGACTCATAATGTGTATATTCATTTGTGTCTGACTTCTTTTGCTCAACATAATGTTTTTGAAATTGCTGTATGTATCAGCAATGTGTTCTTTTTTATCGCTGACTAGATTTGCCTCACATGGCTCTACCACAGTTTATTTCTCTCTTCTATTGACAGAAATCTCACTGTTTCTAATTTTTGGCTATTATGAATAAAACTGCCACGAACATTTGTGTACAAGTCTTTGTGTGGGCATATATTTTCACTTCCCATTTAAACACCTAGGAGTGGAATTGCTGAGTTGTGTGCTATGTTTAACTTTATAAGAAACTGCCCAAGTATTTCCCAAAGTCGTGTCATTTTACACTCCCACTAGCAACATACGAGAATATCAGTTGCTCCACAACCTTTTCAACATTTGATATTGTCAGTCTTTCATTTTAACCATTGTAGTGAGAATATAATATCTCATTAGGGTTTCAATTTGCATTTCCCTGATGACTAATAGCATCTTTTCATCTACTTATTAGCTATTCATATATCTTCTTTTGTGAAGTGAGTGTTTAAATCTTTTGCTCATTTTTAAATTGAGTTGTATTCTTATTAGGGGGTTGTAAGAATTCTCGATATAGTCTCAATACAAATCCTATTTTTAGGTCTAAGTATTGAGAATATTTTTCTTTCAGTATATCATTTGCCTGTTCCTTTTCTTAACAGTGTCCTTTGGAAAGTTGAAGTTACTAATTTTGATGAAACTCAATTTATCAATTTTTATTTTATGGCTCAGGATTTTTTTTTGTTTGTTTCAGTTTTGGTAATTTGTATCATTCAAAAATTTGTCCATTACATCCAAATTATCTTATTTATTATCATAAAATAATTCATTATATTTTTTTATCCTTTTAACGTCTTTAGGATCTGTAGCTATATCTTTTCTTTCATACAAAACATTGGTAACTTCTAACTTCTCTCTCTCTCTTCAATCTGATTGGAGCTTTATCAATTTTATTGATCTTTTAAAAGAGCCAGAATTTATTCCCATTAATTTTCTCTATTGTTTGCGTGTTTTTCATTTTATTAATTTTTGCTCTTATCTCTGTTATTTCTTCTACTTATGTTAGGTTTAATTTGCATGTCTTCGACTAGCTTCTTAAGATGGAAGCTTAAATCTTTGATTTTAGATCATTCTTTTTTAGTAAAAACACTTAAAGCTATAAGTTTATCTCTGAACACTGTTTTAGTTACTTCTTACCATTTCTTATACATTTTATTTTCATTTTCATTCAGTTAAAACTATTTTATAATTTTCCATGTGATTTTTTTTCTTTGAATCACAGATTATTTGGAAGTGTGTTAATTTCCAAGTATTTAGGAAGTTTCTAAATATCTATCTATTGTTATTTCATTCTTTAATTTTTCTTTTTTTACTAATTTCTGGTTTCTCTTGTGAGCAGAGAAATACTCTGTATGATTTAATACTTTTAAATCTATTGAGATTTCTTTTTGGTCCAGAATTCGATCTGTCTTGGTGACTTGTTCTGTAGTCCAGCATAGAGTCTGTCTTGGTAAATGTTCCATATATGCTAGAAAAGAATGTGTATTCTGCTGATATTCTATAATTGCCAATATAAGTTAATTGATAGTATTGTTCACGTCTTTTATATCTTTACTGATTTTCTGTCTACTTATTTTATGAATTACTGAGAGAAGAGTGTTGTAATTGCTAACTATAACTGTGGATTGTCTGGTCAATTTGTCTGTTTCTCCTTTAGGTTCTGTCCGTTTTTGCTTGATGTAATTTAGAGCTCTGTAATTGGGTGCATACACATTTAGGATTGTGGTGTTTACTTTATCTCTGGTAATAGTCCTTGTCCTGAAGTCTACTTTGAAATCAGTACTGCTCCTTCGATTTTCTGATGATTAGTGTTTGTACATACATATTTTCCATCTTTTTCTTTTACCTGTGTCTTTATATTTTAAGAATGTTTTCTTTAGACAGCATGTGGTTGAGCCTTGTTTTTTTTTTTTTTTTAATGAGAATTTCTGCAGTTCAATGAGAGTTTAGATCACTTACATTTAATGTAATTATTAACATGGCTGGAGTTAAGTCTACCATCTTGCCATTTGTTTTCTGCATATTCCCCTTTCTCTTATTACGTGCTATCTTTTGGATTTATTGTTTTTTATTATTCCATTTTATCTTCTCTATTGGCTCGTTAGCTGTGTTGCAGGATTGACAATATGCAT